TTTTTTTCCCTTAATGAAGAAGAAAAAGAAGAAGTGATATTCGCAGCAGGTAAGGGATAACGTGGATGTGCTATTGGGGGAAATTCTCACCCCCCACAGCTAATTAAAGAAAAGTAAAAAAAAAAAAAAAAAAAAGGCCAATTTACACTGGGCAATGAACGCAAAGGAAACGCAACCAATGCTCAGTAATGCTAAGGTGTTATGATCCTGGCCAATTTCGAAGTACACATTCATCAGGAAGTGCAATGCTGTCCAGTTACAAAAAGAAATGAACGAGCTTGAGAGGAGAGAGAGGGAGAGGAGGAGAAGAAGAAGAAGAAGAAGAAGAAGACGAAGAAGCCACTCTCCCCCTCATCTCCTCCTCTCTGATTCAAACAAGAAATAATGATAATAATGTTGAATGACTGAACCAGAATCAAGGTCCGAATCCCTCTTCTGCTGCAGGCATCACATGAGGCCCACCATATCCATGGCCACCCTTCTTCCTCCTCTCACGACCGAGGCTATGGCGGACTACCAGGGCGCCGCCCTGCTGTGGAAAGGACAACACAAAGCAGCTATGGCTGCTCTAGCTCAGGCCGCCATGCCTGACTCTGCCTAAAAGCTTCTTGGTGCAGCTCTACCTCAACGGGGGTCTTCCAGATGCAGCGCCCCAAAAGGTGATGAAGATGGTATCCACCATAGCCAGGTAAGCACCTCTGGCACTCCTCCCTCCTAGTCCTGACCTTCTTCCTCCTCCTGCCCTTGCTCCTCCCCAGCAGCGCTGCTCCAAGCTAACGGTGCTCCAGCCGGCGCTCCAACCAGTGCGTCGCCAAACTTGCACACCGATAACGAGGAGCACCTGCTCCTGCTGGAGATATAGCGGCCTGCTTGCCTCTTGGCGAGTGACTTCCTAGGCCGCGTTGCCTCCAAGCAACCGGTACCTCCTCCCTTTCGGAGGGAAACATCATTCCAGACTCTGATATTGCCCGTACAGGCCCTAGATTCAGACTGGTTGGACTGGTACCCGCCTAGACCTAACCTACAACTACTGGGCCTCTAACCTGTTCCCTCATGCTTGCCGGTGATAAGCAACCGGACTGTTGCCCCCCAGAATAGATGGGGCAACTGGACTGTTGCCCCCGAGAATAGACGGGGCCTCGGTGTTTTTGTATAAAAAAAAAAAAAAAAAGAAGTCAACTTTTGTCTTCTTCTGCACGGCCTCGAATACCCGGGACATCTACCTCTACTTGGTGTGGTACCAGCCTACCTCCTACTTGAGTATTTTCTGCTGCTCTAAGTGTCACGGGCCTCTTTCCCCGCCTACCGGCCCTTCGGGCCTTCCGAACAAACAAGTGCCCTTGCGGGTCACACACACACTCAAGCCGACAGGCACTCAGACAGGCATGCAGACCAGCAAGCGCGCACCCACACAGACTTAGAAAACTCAGCAACATTCGGGAAACTCGGTAAGGCATACATTCCGTGAGCAAAACTCAGAAATCCGCTGTGTGTCTCAGTCCGTGTTTGGCAGGTCATTACACTACCCCCCTCTCAAGAGCAAGGTCCCTTCGAGCGAGTAACTCATTCTGAGTCCCCGACAAACGCATCATAAGCGAACCTAGCAAAGAGATTTCGTGAGTACTGAGTAGCAGTGAGGTTTGCAGAATTTTTTCGTACGGCATTAGAGGCTATCTGTCGCTCGTATGCTTTAACAACGCGAGGTGCGCTGCGCAGCAGTTCTTTCTTTGAGATCCCATAGAGATTGTCTAATGGGTGATACATGAAATGAATCTGGTACTCTGTTACATCCTTCCCCTACGTGTCTTTTAATTCTATCAATATCGTGACCGCCATTGATTGCACAAGGGATTATGTTTTCACAATAGTCGAAGGATTTAGCATCACGATATATAAACAACTTTGATGCATGAAAGACTGGGTACGTGCGCAGATGAGGAGGCACGACAATTATGTATGACGGACATAACTCGTTGTCACCAATCACATCCAAGACTTCCCACGGACCGTAATAGAGAGGGAGAAGTTTGTGTGACACTCGCGCTCTTCTTCCGAAAACTCAGACATCTTGACCCAGACATAACTTCCAACTTTGATAGTCGAAGGTGTGCGCATCTTATTCGCATGATGGATCATGGCGTGTTGTCACTTGGTCATTGACGCAATGGCAACCGTGAGCAAGCGACCATACTTGGCGTTGAAGCCAGGTCTACCAGACTTTAGTGCAGCCGGCTGTTAAGGGGATAAGTAGGAGAGGGGATTACGGATCTGCCAACCGTAATGCAGCCTGTTTGGCATCATGCCGTTGCTCCACAAGTTCCTCCTTCAGTTGCTTTCGGAGGTCATAGGAGTTGAAGGCGAGTCATGTACTCGGGGTGGCGAGACAATGCATCGCCAACTCGATCGTAACAACCCTTTCGTGCTTTAATTCAAAGTCAAAGATGTCAAGCGAGTCAATGTGGGGGACATGGTGGTTTGCTCCTTGATTCATTTCAAGGTCTCATGATCTGAGAAGACCTTGAAACAACGTCCCAAAAGATAGTGTTTCCAATGGTTCAATGCTTCGCGCAGAGCATAGAGCGCGCACATGTTGGTGGAAGTGGCTACCTTTTCACTGGACATGCGTTTGCTGTAGTTTCGAGAGGCCGCAAGCCATCACCATCATCTTGTTGCCGCGCGGCGCCAATCCTGTACTGGCTTGCATCCGTAGTGACTACGAATGTGAGTTTGGAATCTGCAATGCGGAGCACAGGACAACTTACCAAGGCCTTTATCAAGGCTTGAAAAGCGGTCTCCCATGTTGCATCCCACGAGTAAGATACGTTTTTGCTTGTTAGTTTTGACAACGGGCGAGCAGCAATAGAAAATTGGGGCACGAACTTCCGATAGTATGATACAAGACCTAGAAAAGAACGCAATTCGAGGATGTTTGCGGGTTGAGTCCTCTGTGTATGACCTCAACCTTGGTTGCCTCAAGCTCAAGGCCTGCAGCAGACAACCGGTGCCCAAGATAGATGACGTTGTCCCTCCTGAACTGAGATTTCTCTAAGTTGAGATGGAGCTGGGTTTTCTCGAGGATGGTGAACACTTCCTCAAGGTGCTGCATGTGTGGAATGAGTTGCTGAAAATCAGAATGTCATCCAGATTCACAACCACAAATCGACCAATCTATTCGCCGAGGACCTTGTCCATGAGACTTTGAAGGGTGGCTGGTGCGTTCGTGAGACCGAAGGGCATTACGGTGAATTCGTAAAGTTAATCGCGTGTCTTGAACACAGTCTTGTGCTGGTCTGCATGATCGACTTCAATCGGTGTCAAGAGGGGGTTAAGGTATGGAAGGGTCGTGTTGCTGAAAGAAAAGAATTGGGGAGGAGAGGGGTGGCGGTTGGGGGGGG